AATCGAAATATTATGCTATTATTATGTGTTTGGTATCGTTTTGACATAGAGTAAACACAAATGCGTAATAGCCAAGTCTTATTGTGAGTCAGTAGTTCACTTCTGAACCGACTGCACGGTTGAACTCTCTTCCTACGGACGGCAGGAACCCGAAGGAGGCTACGCCGAAGGGCGGAGTCTCCTGGGGGGGGGGGGTTAAACCGGCCCTGAACCCGTTTATATGGGTTCAATTGGGCATATTTTTAGCCGAGTCCACGGGCTCGGAATGCCCACGTTAAAAAGGCCTTGTGCCACATGACACCCTCGTGGAGGGGTGACTCAATATCGTAATTAGCAAGTCTCATCGGCGATCTGTGAGTAAGAAGGGCACCGTAGGAGAGTTATCTATGCATATTTGGGACGTTTCGTTTCGATGCAGATGGTTTTGCGGATGATATGTGCAGTTCTGCATAAAGTAATCTTTTGTAGCACTGAGATGCCGATGTGTCGAGGAATTTTACTCACATGATTAACGGTACTGTTCTTTATCATATCCAGTGCAGCTGTATAACAATAGGGATAATCGTAGATTTAAGCTTCCATATCTACAGGCCCTAATAATGCGACAGATTTTTAAAATTGTTTTCTTTTTTACAAACATTCGAATCCTGTGAGCAAGTCATATCAATTCGCTGTCAGGTTACTGTTTTGAAATCTTTTATGATTATGTCATATCTGTCAGCATCGATTTTTCTGTCTGTAAGGAGTGGTAAATTCCACAGTATAGCCACCCCATCAGTTATTGTGATATCATTCAGGTGGCGTCTGTACCATGTATCCGGGACCGCAATATCTAGTTCGAATAAACATGAGAAATAACATTATTATCCTTACTATTATTTTCTTTGAATTCTGGTGTGTACACATTTCGTTCCTGGTCCCGCCAGAGACCTAAGTGTAGAAATGGCATCATGATATTTTCCACTGACACACACACACACACACACACACACATATATATATATATATATAATTCATCTAGTCTAGAAAAAAACCTCAACAGAATGCAGAAAGCACTGGACGGCAGTTTCGTCCTATATTTGGGACTCATGAGCGTATCCACTACCGAGAATTGACACCCGGACAGCTACCTTATCAGACAAACGTCATACCAACTGTACAAACGGGCCTCGGTGACGAAGAGGCAGCAAATTAGACTCGATACATATATATTTTACATAGATAAAGCCCTTCGTAAGGCGTGGGCTGTACTCGTGAGAACAATTTTTTGTATTTCTTAAGGCATGGACTTCCAGGAATCCCTTCAATTAGTCTACTGGAATCTTTTCCAACTAATCCGAGGGTTCCAACTACAACAGAGATTGTTGAAGCTTCTATGTGCCACATTTTCGAGATTTCTATTTCAAGGTCCTTGTATTTTGACAGCTTTTTGAATATCTTCAAAGATACATTGCAATCAGCAGGGACTGCCATATCAATAAGGAGGCACTTGTTTTGTTTGTGGTCTTTAATAACAATATCTGGGCGGTTGGCCTTGATTGTTCTGTCTGTGTGTATTGTGTAGTCCCATAGAGTTGTAACAGGTCATATCTCCGTAACCGGGTCTGGGTGATGTTCATACCAATTTCTTTCAGTTTCCTTCCCGTAGAAGTTGCAGATTTTCCAGTGTAGATATTGGCCCACTCTGTCATGTCGGGTTTTATATTCAGTGGGTGCCAATATCGTGCAACCTGATACAAGATGATCAATCGTTTCTGGATATTTATCACAGAATCTGCATTTTGGGCTAACACAATATTTTAGTATATGTGCTTGATAATTCCTAGTTAACAAGCATTGGTCCTGTGCAGCAAAGATAAAACCTTCAGTTTCAGCTTTTAACCCTGCACTACGTAGCCACTGATGGGTACGGGTTTTGTCTACGTCAGCTTGTTTGGTACGGGCAGAGTATTGGCCATGAAGCGGTTTATCTTGCCATTCTTTCTGTATCTGGTCAGTTGCATTTGTTTTTGCTTTCTTTTTTATGTATTTTGCAGCTTCAGTCGTTGTATTATGGTTTACTTGTATTGCTGAATATTATTATTACTATTATTAGCATTATTAATATAGCAAATGCTAGATCTAAGGAATGCTGGGATTGTTAAATGCAAGAAAGCATGATGGATATAAACAATATTAGATTATGAACAACAGCTAGATGAATAAGTAGACAAATGTTTGTTTTTGTATTTTAAATATTTTAACACACACACACACACACACACATATATATATATATATATATATATATATATATATATATATATATATATATATATATATATATATACGTGTGTGTATTATAAATGAATTGTCCGACAATTATACAATAGCGGATAAAGAGAATATATATATATATATATATATATATATATATATATATATATATATATATTTTTAATGAAAACAACACAACATAAAAAAATTAATTATGATTATAGAAGAAATGTTTAAAAATGTCTATAAAAGCAATATTTTGCGATGCTGTAAGTGTAAAAGAAATATTTTTAAAAAGCCGTTTGTGTATTTTAATACATTACTAGTAAGGAATTTAAACTGTTATCTCCTTAAATATCCTTAACGTAAATTGACTAAAACCGGAGCGCGAGTCATGTGCATTTACAAAAAAATTCCCAAATATTAATTACATTAATTTTTAAATAAACCCCTGAAGATGATCTTGTATAAGATTGAAAGTGCTTGGGAAAATAAAAGAAATAACTAAAACTAAGGCGTCTTTCTTAATTGGTTATGTAACAGTACTAAGAAATTGATCCGTGAATTTGAGCGGATTAAAATGAAATAAATAAAGAGAATATGTCTAGATTAATGAAGATATGATGCCTATATATATATATATATATATATATATATATATATATATATATATATATATATATATTATAAATTAACTGATTTAAAATTTTTTTTTTCGTTACACAGTAATAACCATGTTATTAAAAGCTTAGAATTTAATTTTGTAATTAAATTAAAAGCATTAGTTCCATTTCATCCTGAAGCGAATTTTGGAGTAACTTATTTTTTAAATTTACTGAGTTTTAAAGGCACAGAAAAATTCATAATTCACTGTTTCCAGACGACATGCATTTAACGGACGTCAGAATTCGTTAAAAAATACATCTCTACTCTACCTAAAGGCAACCCCTTTTTCGAACGTAACTAATAACTGATACAACAAAAGTTAATAAAAATGAACACGCTACCACCGCTTGTCTGAATGATTGGATCTCTCTGTATCCTTGGAAACAGTGAATTATGAATTTTTCTGTGCCTTTAAAACTCAGTAAAGTTAAAAAAAAAATAGGTTACCCCAAAATTGGCTTGAGGATTAAATGGAGGTAATGTTTTTAATTTAATTACAAAATTAAATTTGAAGTTTTAGCTTCCATTTTTGAAACATGGTTATTACTGTGTAGCGAAAAAAGTATTTTAAACCAGTTAATTTATAATATTAATTCTCTGTAAATTTACATAGAGTATTATTTTGTAAAAATAAAAATATCAAAAGGAAAACACCGGATTATATATCTTACTGTTCTGTCTTTATATATATATATATATATATATATATATATAAAAGTCAGAATAGATAATGAAATGTTTATCATGCATGTCGACCGATATCTAAATATCGATTGAGATCTCATTTGAGGGAGACATATTAGCCCAATTAATTAGCAATGATTATATACTATTCTTTATCAGATTTAAATAATTGGATTTGATTTACATCTAAAGTCAAGCGTCTCTGTCTCACGGATGTGTTGGCAAGTAATTAGTGAAACCACCTCGCGAATAAAATAAGCCGGCGTTGAACTTTTGGCGAGTAAAAGGTGAAATGTCAATTAGAGTGACGGAGCTTATCTCTTTGTGATGTAAAGATTCTTTCGTTAATGAAGTCTTATAATTCCAGCTAAAACTTTGGCATATTGTTCGACCTACAGTCTGCGCATGCTTGTAAGCGTAGCCCGATTTGAAGATCGGAAGAAGCAGCTACAGATATGGAGTAGAAAGAATCAGTTATTAGAAAAGTTTTGAGGTCTGGTTCCGTCTTGTCACTCTTGGCAAAGGTGTGAATCAATATTTGCAGCGCACCGTCCCAAGCCTCTTGATAAAGGTTGCCTCATTGAAAGAATAAAGTCTTTAACAAACAAATGCACACTCGGCCAACGACGTTTTCGTGTTCGGTACAATGTTGGCGAACGTAGAAATCCATGTTTTCTGTGTTCTGTTCCGAACCTTTAATAAAGGTCATTTTAGAGTCTGTCTATATGTCTGAGATGAGGTATTATGTACATTATTTACATTATTCAGACTATTGTCCTCATTTTCTGTCTATATTTCTGAGATGAGGTATTATGTACACTATTTACATTATTTATTGTTCAGACTATTTCTCCTGAGTATTATGTACATTTTTTACATTATTCAGACTTTGTCCCTCATACTATTTTCTGGGATGAGGTATTATGTACACTATTTACATTATTCGGACTATTGTCCTCATCTTTCTGTCTATATTTCTGAGATGAGGTATTATGTACATTATTTACATTATTCAGACTATTGTCCTCATCTTTCTGTCTATATTTCTGAGATGAGGTATTATGTACACTATTTATATTATTCGGACTATTGTCCTCATCTTTCTGTCTATATTTCTGAGATGAGGTATTATGTACACTATTTACATTATTCGGACTATTGTCCTCATCTTTCTGTCTATAATTCTGAGATGAGGTATTATGTACACTATTTACATTATTCAGACTATTGTCCTCATCTTTGTCGCCATATTTATCACAACGTTTCGGCCGTTGTACGCTCCGGTCTTCTTCAGGTGGTTGGAATGTCGAACTGAACCATTCATTTCGCTCAACATTCAGAAAACAGTCTGCCTGCCTTATGTGAAGCGGTCATCAGAGAAAATACAAAGGATCTGCGGTCCATATAACATCAGGACAAACTTCAAAAGCTTGACGACACTTCGCAGATATCTCTCCCGAGTAAGACCGCCCCCCCCATATAGGAGAACATGACTAAAGACTGTGTGTACGTTATTCCATGCAGCTGCGGAAGCAGAGACAGGCCACCCCCTCAAGATAAGTCTTCAAGAACACCAGAAAGCTGTAACACGAGGGGAAGTAGAAAAATCAGGCGTGGCTGACCATATATGGAGAGAAAGGGGAGATCACCGCCCTCTGTGGGATCATGTTGAGTCTGAATAATGTAAATAAAGGTCACTTTATTGAATATCTACAATACTTAACAAATAAAATAAAATACTACTACTACTACTACTACTAATATTAATAATAATATTAAAATAAAATGCACACCCATGACACAGATTTTTACACCGCTAGAGACATTTTGATATTCAGAACATGGAATATAGACATACACTGCTAAGTAAACAGAGTTTTGCCCATAATAAAATATCTACAGTTGAGCCCTTGACTAACGTTGGAGAACCGTTTCTACGGCATGATATAACCAGATTTTCGATGTTGGTCGGAACTTGCCTACCTAAGCACCCACGTTTTTGCCTTACACTTGGGAGCCATAATGAAGGGCAAAAAGTCCTCCCACCACCAAAAAAAAACAAACAAAAAAACAACACAAACGAGAGATAGCGAATGTAGTACAATCCAGTATGGCGTACGACCGGCGAAGAAGCAATGCTGTCTTCATCGTATAGCACCGTGGGACGATGGCGCCGTAACCACGAAACGCCGTACGTCGGGTCCGGCGTAATCCGAGGATACTGAAATGACCAAGATATTTAATGACCAAGATATTTAAGGACCAAGATATTTAATATGACATCCACACATCCAATCGATCGTTATCAGAATCGTAGAAGCATTGTAAAGAGCAAAATCCTTCCCTTCGGGTTGTATACAGTTTTAAATTCAGAGTTGTACCTTTCCTAAAGAGCCAGTCTGAAAAGACCCGTTTCTTCTTCTTCTTCTTCTTCTTCTTCTTATTATTATTATTATTATTATTATTCATTGTGACGTGTCCCTTAGATACGTGGGCGATCATGGCTCTCCACAACATCCTGTCCTTTCTAGCCATTAGTAAATATTGACTTAATGCTATATCTCCTAAACCCTGTTGCGCCAAACATTTACACGAGCTTGTTAGGTAGGGTCATGATCTTTGTTCCTCTGTTTCTTTTGCTTTCAATATGCCTTATGAGTGTCAAATTTTCCAAGCTTTCCTCCCTTATTATGTGCCCTAGAAATTTCAACTGTCACTTTTTGATGCTATGTATAAGTGTACATTTTGTTTCCATTCTTTTCTAAAAAATTTTCGTTTCTAACGTCTTCAGTCCATGGTATTCTCATCATCCTTCTGTAGAACCACATTTCTGTTGCTTTTTGTTTCTTCACCATCTGTGATGTGATGGCCCAGCATTCACCGATATTACATAACAATTATGAATGTGAAAAGACCAGTTTCTTATTCTTATTCATTGTGAAGTGTCCCTTGAGGACGTGGGCGATCATGGTTCTCCACAAGTTCCTATCCTTACTAGACATTAGTTAAGGTTGTCTTTATGCTATATTTCCTCTTTTCTTTGTTTCTAACGAGGTTTTCCTGATTCTTACTACTTTACTTATGTTTTGGAAGGCATCTTCGGCTTCGTAATATAGTTATTAAAAAATGATAATGGATTTTCGCTAGTATTATTTTATTTTTCTAGTTCTACTACATTTCCCTACCATCACTAATTGAACAGCATAATTAATTATATAAATTGTGTATATTTAGGCAGCAATTTTTTATTAATGCATGTTTCATTAAATGTGTTGTGTATTTATTTTAAGTAAGTTCCTTTCATATTGTCTGATAAGCTTAATAACATTATCATTGAAAGACGAAAGGAAATCACCATATTGATACACGTTTAAATCCAATCTAAGCTTTCGGCTTACATAAGCCATTATCAAAGATGACAATTTCAATAAATCAAACAACAACAGACGAAACAACAATGATAGTCCGCCCTTGCTGCATGAAAATTTCAAGTGCCGACAGACTCGTATAAAAATTCTTGAAGCTTTATACATAAAACAGTTGAAACCTAACCTGAACAAAATAAACTATGAAATCTCCACAAATATCCTTAAATGCCTATAATTTATAACAGAATCCATTGGTTTATACCAACGGCTTCCCATACTTAATACTACTCGTTTTTCACTCTCGCGTGGTCATGTGTGACGCCACGAGCTGCGATGCAATTTTCGCTTCCGCGTCTCGTATATACGAATTACTTGAAATTTTCATGCAGCAAGGGCGGACTATCATTGTTGTTTTGCCCGTTGTTGTTTGATTTATTGAAATTGTAATCTTCGATAATGGCTTGTGTAGGCCGAAAGCTTAGATTGGATTTAAACATGTATCAATATGGTGTTTTCCTTTCGTCTTTCAACGATAATGTGATTAAACATATTAGACAATATGAAAGGAACTTACTTAAAATAGACAAAAATTGTCTATATTATTTAATGAAACATGCATAATAATATATATATATATATATATATATATATATATATATATATATATATATATATATATTCATAATTAATGCGGTATTTACAGAAGATATAGAATGCAAGTTAGTTTTTAACATGAGGTCGTTTTAAGTGCAGGGTAGCCATACGTGTACATATGAAGCAAGCCTAAATATTGCCCGGTTATCACGAAAAAAATGTCGCTAACGAGCCATTGTGGATCTCTGGATTAAAACCGGAAACAGAGGAATTCATCCCAGCTGCTCGTTATCAAAACGTGACAAAATGATTCTACCAGTTTGATATTTTAATGAATCGGGCAGGTCCAAATGAATAAAATAAATCAGTTAAACGGTGTGAGAAAATTGGGATATTGAAAATTGAGAATATTTAAAAAGAATATGTCAGCTGAGAACTACTGAGATACCTGTAATGTTCACATCTTTGCCTACGATGACAAAAGTACAGATGAGAACATTAAAATGAGGACTGGTAGCACCTGTTTACATTAGAGATTAGAAAAGTGACACTGTATTGAAATGCTCATCCACCCAAGAGAGTAAGAGAAATAGAGAGAAAATATAGACACACTGTAAATATTAATGATGTGAAGTCGAAGTTTAGCGCTAAGTCAGTCGCTAAGCTTTCAGGCCTGTTCAGGGTTCAGGGCCTGTCTACCTCCGCGAACGAAACTTTGCCCTTCGGCAAAGCTTCATCAGGTTCCTCTCTGCCAAAGCAGAGAGTTCAACAGTCAGACACAGAAAACGCTAAGCTTGTCTTCGGTATTTACCAAACCCCCCACGACGAATGTATGTGGCACAAGGCCGAGTTTAACGTCGGTTTCTCTGAGCCCGTAGGCTCGGCCAAAAATATAGCCTTTGAACCCGCCTAGATGGGTTTAGGGCCTGTCTACCTCCCCGGACGAAACTTTGCTCTTCTGCAAAGCTTCATCCGGGTCCCTCTCTGCCAAAGCAGAGAGTTCAGCAGAAGTCAGACACAGAAGACGTACAGCTAAGCTTGTCTTTGTCCCACATTATTCTCAGTGACGAGTTATATAGGCTTTCTCTTGCACTTATGCAAATTAGGCATATTAATTTGCCAGTGTCACTATAGTTAAGTCTCACTTAACATCAGGTATCGTACAAACAAGATGCATATATATGCTTTTTCCGCCTTCCCTCAGATCTCGAGTCAAAGACACAGTAAATGATTTGGAGTAAACAGATTGAAAAAGAATATAATCTCTAATATAGTTATGCTTATCCCTCCTTTTCCTCAATTAGTTCACACGACCGTTACGTCCTGCTAATACATCGTAAATGGACTATTTCGTTTTAACTGTGAAGAAAGGTAATTGGCATATCAGAGACGCTACTTGGTTTCAGTGAGAAAATGAAATAAATAAAAAAAGAATGAAAGAAAGAAAGAAAAAAGAAAGAAGGGAAGACATAAGTGTTTCAGTGAAATGGAAAAATATTGTCACTTTCAAACCTTTTCATTTGTTCACCATTGTACATAAATTTATTAATACACGTGGTTGCAAGACAGATTTTACGGCAATAATAATAATAATAATAATAATAATAATAAGACCTTGAAAAAGAAATCTCAAAAATGTGGCACATGGGAACATCAACCATCCCTGTTGTAGTTGGAGCCCTAGGATTGGTTTGAAAAGATTCCAGTAGACTAACTGAAGGGATTCCTGGAAGTCCATGCCTCAAAGAAAAACAAAAAAAATGTTCTGACAAGTACAGCCCACACTTTACGAAGGGCTTTATCTATGTATTTTTTTTTTTTTTTTTTTTGTCAGTGGAAAGTGTCATGATGCCATTTCTAACCTTAGGTCCCTGGACGGGACCCGGAAAGAAATGTGTAAACGCCAGAAATCAAAGAAAATAAAAATGATAATAAAAATGTATAACTGGCCACTCGTATTCGAGGATACCTGTCTACTAAAGCGGTTAGCCAATCCCTATTGCAGACGCTTGCTCAGGTGCATTTGTGTTTATTCAACACCTACAGAGTCCACCTATGATTTATACTGCAACTCTGCTGAGCAGGCCTTAGTTACAGTTTCTGGAAAAAAGCGTGTTATCTAGCGTGATCAAAAATTTAAACACGTCCAGCACGCTCAAGCCCTCGGCCACGAAGACTTGTGCTAGCACAGCTATCGAAGGCATCCGTCTACCCAATTTCACTCACAAGGCTTGGGTCATCCCGTGGTATGGTTTTCAGGCACATTCCAAAGGAGCCTCACGCTGGGATCGACCCTCCCAGTCCGATAACATCCGGAAGTCTACTTCCTGACAAATCGACCATGGTGAGATTCGAACCCGGGTCTCATGGCCAGAATGCGAACGTTTTAACCATTCTGCCACCATAATAATAATAATAACAATTTAAAAAAATGATTGATGTTACTCTTCCAATATTTTTCAAAACTTAAGAGAAGAAGGTGATTTATGAAAAAAAAAACAGTATTTAATAAAGTTAATATTTCGACAGAATGTCTATCTTTTTCAAGGTACATTTAAAAACGTACAGTATAAAACTATATAAATCTATAAAAAAAAATATAAGTTTTTCTACAAACTTTGATTGTTTTGTAATGAAAAAACGGTTGTACTGGTAATCAACGCGTCAAAAACGAATGAAACGCTGCCAGCGTGAAGGCATGCAACTGAAAAGTGTATAAATAATAAATTGCAGTGCCAAAGTGTGACTTGGGAACCAGGGCATGCAGTTCATTATACAGGATAATCGCCAAGGTGGAGAGGGAAAGAGAGAACCTCCCTCTGCACCCCAGTAAAATTATTTGCCTCCCAACAACTCTCTGTGAATGTGATGTCAACTTATTTTAATGTGAGAAAATACACTTCCACCAACTGGGTACGCTTCAGACTTGACACCCTTTTTGACGTAAACTAAATTAATATTGTTTTAATTTAAATTGTTTTAATTTAAATTGTTTTAATTACCCAAATGTTCTTTTAAAACAAAGTTCAATCTTTCTTCTTTAAAATAACACCAACGTTAATACATTAAATATGAATATAAATACTTTTAATTTAATTTTAAAAGTAGGTACTGTAGTGAAGTTTTTTAAAAAGATGTTTAATAAAATAATATACACTATTACCAAGAACTTTTTTTTACATAACTTTAAAAAAATAATTTTGAACATTTAAAATTAAATCAGAAGGTATCAAAACGGATGAAATCTTACCTTTTAATCACAAAAAATAGACTTTGCCAGTTGCTCCTTTTCGCTCCACGTATGACGTGGTCAAAAACAGTTTGGGTAATGATCGCATGATTGAATCCGGGTCTTAAGAAAGGGTCAAAAAAACTCTTCATGGATTAACACTTTTTAAAAGTCAGTTAAAAGAACAACTTTTGATGTGACAATAAAGTCATCAGACATTCCCTATATATTCTTCAGAAACGAATAACACAAATGTTTCGTCTAAATCTGTCCTACTGTAAGTCCCTTGAATAGGCAAGTCTTAAAACATTAAAAACATCACTTCAATAGAGAGTGTGTACTGGCTTAATACGTTTGGAAAGCAAACAAAATAATTTCTGCTTTTCGGTGTCTTTCTCTTTGTGACCGACCACTTTATTATTTTGTCCCTCTTTTTCATGCACCCAGCTTGAAGAGAAGACACGGCATTTTCTAACGCAAGCAAAATATCTGCTTTTCGGTGACTGTATTTCTTTTATGTTCCACTGTTACGTTTTGCTTTATATGTCCCGATTAAAATGGTTTGTAAATTCATTGCTTTTACTTGTGTCTTTTCTTTGCTAAACAACAAGCGTTTTCTCTACTTACACCCTATAAATAATATCGCTTGTAACAATTATCACAAGAAATGAAGAAATGAGAAACTGTAGAATTAATTTGTTGAATGTTGACTTTTCTATCGACTGTGAACTCATAGCACCGGAAGTCGAAAAGTGTGTCGCACGCATTGGTGCACTGACTTCAGAGTTCGCTATTATTACATTATTAATATATGTGATTAAACAGTTTTTTTCAGTCATTATTTGTTAGTGTTTTCATTGGAATAATATTGACCGGAACAACGCGCTTCTACGAACATTATAACACTTTGATGTAAATGATTGTGCTCATAAACAACGTTGACAGATGCAGAAAAAGACAAACAAAAAAAAAAAACTACCTTTCTCTGTAATATGCTCGATGGTTTTCTATGAAAAACTTCCCTTTACAGCGGGTCTCAAGTAAAGGACTTGAAAAAAAAAAGGATTGTATAAAAACGAAACTTTGTAATATATATAAAGAAATCTCGATTGAATGTAGTTCATTGAAAAGTGGTTGATGTTACATAAAAAAAGAAATCCTCAAGTCGAAAATTGATTGCTAGCGGAACCAAACGGACGATCCTTTTTTCGTCGATTTCCGAATTACTTAAGATTTTTCTTTTTCTTTTTTTTCTCTCCTTTGTGGTTCCTTTTTTTTTCTTCTTTCCCACTCTCTCTCACTTATTTACCTCTCTTTTCTCTACTGATCCAATTAAGAAGCTTTTTGTGTTTCTCCTGATAATTTCTTTCTTACTCTTCTTTCTTCTTTTTACTTACTCCTTTCCATTCCTTTCTTCTTCTTCTTCTTCTTCTTCTTCTTCTTCTTCTTCTTCTTCTTCTTCTTCTTTTCTTCGTTTTTAAGCTTTTCTGTTCAACATCTACCTTCTTTTTCTTTTCTTCTACATTCATTCATTTTCTCTCTTCTTTTTTTCGCTTTTCGTATATCTTCCGCCCCTATTTCTTTTTCAATTGTCCACCTTCTTATTTTTTTCTCTTATTTCATCTTCTTCTACCTCATCTTTTTACCCACTCTTCTCTTCTTGAAGTTGTTTGTTTTATTTATCAACCTTCTTCTTCTTTTTCTTCTTCTTCTTCTTCTTCTTCTTCTTGTTTCTAAGTTAATTTTATCCACCTTATTCTCTATTTTCTTCATCCTCGTGCACATTTCTCCTACTTCAACCATCTTCTTCTTCTTCTTTCTCTTCCTCCTCCTCCTCCTCCTATTTCTTCCTGTTTTTAAGTTAATTTTATCCGTCTTATACTTTATTTTCTTCATCATCATTCACATTCCTCCTACTACAACCATCACCATCTTCTTCTTCTTCTTCTTCTTTTTCTTCTTCTTCTTCTTCTTCTTCCTTCCTTCCTTCCTTCCTTCCTTCTGTACTCTTAATTCATCTTCATTCTTTTATACGTCTTTGCAATCTCTAATACAGCTAACATCAGACGTGCTCTGCTCCCCATTTGAAAGGCATTCGCTGAACAAAGCTTATCCTCAGAGAAAAAGTACATTTCTTTATATGATGACTTACCTTTGATTATCATAGATGAGAAGCAGTAGAATAGACAGGTTGTTAAATCACAGATATAAATTATTGAGTAAAAGTACAAAGGGTAGCGATGGCGATGATCTTGCTCAGTTGAGCGGAGAAAGGAAAGAAACGAAAAAGAAATCATTGACTCTTAAACATATCTTAGACCCATTTTCATCAATGAAATCAATGAAGTGGAAGTTTTAACTTGAGAATTAAATCCTTAAGCAACTTTCTTTGGATGTTTTCTTAAAGGCGGCTGCTTTTGGCAGCAGATAAAAAAAATAAAGACAAAAAACTGAAGAGTTCTTATTTTTTTTATTTCCATATTTAATAGTCTCCTTTGAAGTGATTTGAATCAATTTAATGTATTTAGGCCAGTGTAGTTGAAGTGGATCTTTTGAGGATCGCAAAATTGTAGAAAGTCCACAATGTTCTTTCTCCATCATTTTTATACTTTTTTTTTCTAGTGAATTTAAATTTGAATTTAAATGTGAATTTAAATGTTACAAAAGGCACGGTGGAATAATGGATATCGTCTCGGATTGAGGAATCGGAGAGCCGATTTCAAATTCCAGTGTCAGTTCATTACATTCAGTTACCCTTGGGCAAGTTATGTACCCTACACTTCTCCCCCAGCTATAGGCAAATTGCTGGGCAGACCGGGTTCTATAGGTGAGTCAACACTGAATTCAAAATCGGCCTGATGAGGGTTTGGCTTCGTCAGGCTCTCTTGTAAAAGAAAAACTCCTTCTAATAAAATGAGTTGTAATTCAATGGATTCTACAATTTCATGTAATACAGGCACTTCATTCTCGATCTATATATATATATATATATATATATATATATATATATATATATATATATATATATATTAATTATATTTGACGATATATCAACCCCTGTTTAGTTATTTAATGTGGATGTTTGTATGTAGCAAACGTCAAGGATCGAAATACTTGTATCAATAAAAATATAGTTTCGATAACAGTTAGACTACTCAATGGCGCAGAACAATGTTCGGAAAGTGAGAACGACGATATATATATATATATATATATATATATATATATATATATATATATATATATATATATATATAAAAGGCTAATATTCCATGGTCATAATTTATTCCATTGGAATCGTAAATACCATCCAATTCATCAGACCTACAAATTCAAAAAATTTGTATATTTACCAATAATATTATCTATCTATCTTGTATCTATATATATATATATATATATATATATATATATATATATATATATATATATATATATATATTATATATAAATTTTTTTTATTTTACACATCAGCTATAAAAATATTTTTTATATAAAAAACTCGGTGTACATAGGTAATTAAAACATTTCTCAGCAATTTTTTCATAGTCAAGGATTTTTTTAGCCTAAGTTCAGCTTTGGTGTTTCCATATCAAATTTTTACAGAAGGCTGCTATTCTAGTATTTGCCATAGGTAATTTTTTTCCGGAGATTCACTCATGGCGCCCGCTCGGGTTTATCTTTGGCAGGCCTTCTGTTTCTTTATTCTCTTTAATCTCTCCATATATTATCATTTCAGAATTCAACCTTTGCATATTTTAATCTAAGGCGACGAGTGATCGTTAAGTAGTTTGAGTGTGTAGCGATTTCAATCTTCATTGGGTGACCTCCTCACCGCAACAAGAGTTGATATGGTGTCAGCGTTTTACTAATTCTGAAATACTTATCTATTTCCTTTTTTTTTTCTTTTTCTTCTTTGTCTCGGTCTCTTTTTTTTCCCTTTTTTTTTCTTTTTCCTCTATTTTTGCTTCTCTTCAGACTTCATTGTTTTTCCTCCATTTTTTTCTTTTTTACTCTTTACTTATATTTTCTCTTTTCATTTATTCACCTCTGCCTGTTTATTCACATTCTTTTCTTTCCCTTTCTTCCTCTCTATCCCCGCTGCGTCTGGGAAACAATAATAATAATAATAATAATATTAATAATAATAATAATAATAGCACAAGAAGAAGAAGGTGGTTGAAGTGGGAGGAATGTGCGTGATGATGAAGAAGATAGAAAATAAGGTGGATAAAATTAACTTACAAACAAGAAGTTGGAGGAGGAGGAGGAGGAGGAGGAGGAGGAAGAAAAAATAAAGAAGAAGAAGAAGAAGAAGAAGAAGAAGAAGAAGAAGAAGAAAAAACTGCAAGAAATTGGTCGGAACACCACCCAAACCCTTTTACAGACATAGAACCCGTAACAATTTTATGGGACTTTGCAATACCCACGGACAGGACAGTCAAATTTAATGGCCCAGGCATTGAGAACAAAGATCACAAAAACACAGAATGTGCTTTCTTATTGACATGGGAGTTCACGCACACTATAATGAATCTTTGAAGATCATCAAAAAACTATCGAAATACACGGATCCTTAAGTGGAAATCTAAAACCGTGGCATATGAAGAATCAATCATTCCTGTTGTGTTTGGAGATCTCTCTTTGATTTTAAAAGGTTCTGATTGACTGATTGAATGGGATGCATGGTAGCCATTGCTTTAAAAAAATACAAAAGATTTTTCTCAAGCACAACTTACCCCTTACAAAGGGATTTATCTATGCACTCATGTTTATTTTACAAAAAAAGATTCAGTGGATAATGCCATGGCGAATATTTCTGACGTTACCTCTTGGGTTGGGACCTGAAGAGAAATGAGTATACAATGGAAATCAAAGGATATAATAATAATAATAATAATAATAATAAAAATGGAGTTTCAAATGGGCGTAGAGATGCAACTACAGCACAATACACCGGCTGAAACTGCAAAATACCTAAAAAAGACAGCAAAGACGAATGCAACCGACCAGCTACCCAAGCGATGGCAAGATAAACCGCTTCATGGCCAATACTCTGCCCGTACCAAACAAGCTGACGTAGACAAAACCCGTACCCATCAGTGGCTACGTAGTGCAGGGTTGAAAGCGGAAACTGAAGGTTTTATACTTGCTGCACAGGATCAATGCTTGCTAATTAGGAATTATCAAGCACATATACTAAAATATTGTGTCAGCCCAAAATGCAGATTCTGTGATAAATATCCAGAAACGATTGATCATCTTGTATCAGGTTGTACGGTGTTGGCACCCACTGAATATAAAACCCGGTAGGACAGAGTGGGCCAATATCTGCACTGGAAAATCTGCAACTTCTACGGAAGGAAACTGAAAGAAACTGGTATGAACACCACCCAGACCCGGTTACGGAGATAGGACCTGTTACAATTCTATGGAACTACACAATACACACTGACAGAACAATCAAAGCCAATCGGCCAGATATTGTTATTAAAGACCACAAACAAAAACGGTGCCTCCTTATTGATATGGCAGTCCCTGCTGACTGCAATGTATCTTTGAAGATATTCAAAAAGTTGTCAAAATACAAGGACCTTGAAATAGAAATCTCGAAAATGTGGCATATGGGAACATCAACAATCCCTGTTGTAGTTGGAGCCGTAGGACTGGTTGGAAAAGATTGCAGTAGACGAATTGAAGGGATTCCTGGAAGTCCATGCCTCAAGGAGATACAAAAAATTGTTCTGACAAGTACAGCCCACACCTTACGAAGGGCTTTATCTATGTAATTTTTTTTTTTTTTTTTGTTTCAGTGGAAAGTGTCATGACGCCATTTCTAACCTTAGGTCCCTGGGCGGGACCCGGAAAGAAATGTGTAAACGCCAGAAATCAAAGAAAATAAAAATAATAATAATAATAATAATAATAATAATAATAATAATATATATAATATATATATATATATATATATATATATATATATAATATATAAAGAATATATAATATATAATATATTAAAATTATAAAAATAAGAAATCACCCATACCAATTAAAAAATCGAATAAATATTATAAATTTAAGAAAAAATATCATAAATATCATAATTAAATTTTCACAAACAGAAAATTAAATTTTAAAAATGTTAAAAACTAATTAAATTTTTAATTTTTAAAACATATTTTGATTTTTGCAATCTGATTTTGAAACATGAATTCTGAAATAAAATATTCCTATTATAAAAAATAAAAATATTTAAAAATGTTATTATGTGTGTGTTTGTGTCAAAATGTGTGTGTGTGTCTGAGTTTGTGTGTTTTTGGAAAAATCCAAATTTTTGAAAATAAGTAAAAACAGAATGGATGTATATGCCTTATTCAATAACTGGTAAAATGGAAGGAAACCATAATTTAAAGAATAAAATGAAAAAATATATAATTGTTCTTGTATTAAAAAAAAATGAAATCTGTTTGTTCTTGTCAAATCATATGAAAAATGTCTTTTTGATTAAATTAGACATTTTAATATTATAATCCATATAAATATATATATATATATATATATATATATATATATATGTGTGTGTGTGTGTGTGTGTGTGTGTGTGTTTGTGTTTTTGTGAAAAAAATATTTTTAGAAAAAAAAAAATTTAAAAATCAGACACTTTTTAAACCCGTTCAATCGTCCAAACGCAAAAAAAAACAAAGTTGACAAACTAAAAAGAAACCGTTTGTTTTTCTCTTTAGCGAACTACGAATTAAAAAATTGGAATGATGGAAAATAGCATATATGAAAAAAATAAAAATTATGTTCGTGTTCCATCTAAAAAATTATGGAATGAAAGAGAGTTTGAAAAGATTAGAAAATAGAGAGAGAAAATGTTTGCAAAAGTCAAAAGTCAAATCAGAGAAATTAAGTGAATGAAAGAGAAAAGAGAAAGGAAAGAAAACATGAGAGAGAGAGAGATTAATTATAGAAAAGAATTTTTGAGAAAGAGAGAATTTTTTAAAACAAAAGAGAAAAATAAATTATGAGTAATAGAAAAATTTTTTGAAATAAATAGAGTATTATGTCAGGTTGGCCAAAATTATATTTTTTTTTCAAATTTTGAATCAAAAATTCATTTTAATAAAAACATATTGAGGTGTCTTGGATTGTGGAATATAGACTATCACTAACAGGTGATGTTTCAATTCTTGAAACATTTCAGTCAATTAATTTGAAAAAAGAACGCCCAAGGTGTATCTGGATAATAATACGTTCAAAAAAAATTTGCATGTGCGTGTGCGCCTTTCATTTAATACATTTTAATAATAAAATAAAATAAAATTTATATTTCTTTTATTTTTAAAATTTTATAAATTGTTCACTTCAATTGCAATTGTTTTAATTAATAAAATTTTATATTTTAAATGACAAAATAATTTTTTAGGAAATTACTTCAGAAAATTTTAAATGTTAAATTTAATTTAATATATATTACTTATAATAGATTTATATTTTTAACCAATTGAAATTTTATGACTAATAATAATAAATATTAATACTAATAAAACTACTAATAAAAATAAATAATAATAATACTAATACTACTACTACTACTACTACTATTAATAATAATAATTTTATAAAAATACTAAATACTATATATTAATAATAATAAAACTACAAATCTAAAATTTAAAATACTAATACTATTACTAAATAATAAAACTACTACTAATAATAATACTACTACTACAACTAATAAAAAAAAACTACTACTACTTCAAAATAATAATAATAATAAAAATACTATAAACAATAAAAATAATACAATTCAATAAAACTAATAAAACTAATAAAATACTATTTTAATACTACTAACTAATTATAATAATATAATATACTACTATATATTACTACTAATTTGTATAATATTCATATAAAAAATGCCAAAACATCAAATGGAACAGATGATCCGAAAATTAAAAAATTACTGTCCTGACGAACCGTTATTATTCTTTTAATGGTTTTTCCAACAAAAATTTTCGACTGGAACAGAAATGACGACGAAGAGGTTCATATCGTTGCAACGATCAACTTGCAGGAAAAAGATGTGAGAGTCCCAGCAAAATTTTAGTGTTTAGTACTATATTATTATGTAAATATAATTTGATATATATATTTAATCTTGGATATATAAAGTTTGGAAATGTAAAAGTCTCCTTCAAAAATGTTAATTTCCTTAAACACAACATGGGAATGTGGAAAACCACATTATACCTAAATCACACAAGATATTTTTTCCGACCCTGTTTAATCCACCTTCTCAATCAGAATGAACTAATCTCTACTAAATACTTTAAACAGTTTTAGAGTTTAAAAATCAAAATTTTCACACTTCCGTCTCTCTACCGGAAGATACATTTGAACTTTATATCTTTCTTCTTGTTACTGAATTTGACCATGCGTTCGTTTGACTACTAAAATCTATGTTTAAATAAAAAGTTCAGATATAAGCAGTATTTTTGACTACGTATGTGTTTGTCTTATTTCAATACACTACACCGGAAAACACTCAATAGAAATCCATTTTTTTTCCTGAATATCAGATGATTTTATTCAAATATCCTTGGCACCCCTTCTGTTTTGTCTTTCCTTAATCCCCGCATAAACTAAACAATAATATCTATGGATACAAAATAACCATGAAAGTATTCAATCACCTACTCTACATGGATGATATCAAACTCTTTGCTAAAGACGGCAATGAGTGAAATTTTTTAAATACTGTAAATTGCTTCAGTGAAACATATGAATGGATTAGATAAATATGATGGGTTTAATATTCAAAAAGGAATTTTATTTTTTTCAAAGAAATTATATCATTAGATCTAGACTTTCTCATATAAATATATTATAACTATAACAATAAGCCTGTAATATATATATCAGGTCATCCCATAAGTTCTGTCCGAATTTTGAATAAAGAAAACAAGTGACCAAATGTTACATTTAATTACAGATTCAATCAACAATGTATTTTCCCTGATTATCTATGACTTCCTTCCATCTATTAACAAGCTTACTAATTCCATTACTGTAAAATTCTTTTTTAATTTGATTCGAAGAACTCACAAATGTCAGTTTTAACCTCTTCCTGTGTTACAAAAAAAGCTGTTTCTTCCAAATGATTCTGTAAGCTACGAAAACAAATGGTAGTC